GAGAGAGAGAGAGAGAGAGAAAGAGACTGCGTATATGCATTCATTGTGTGGCGGTATGTTGCCTTAATTTTATGACAGCCATAACGAGACGCAAATGTTGTACGTGTTGAGTTTGTTATAATCTTAATAATATTATAAAGGCCAAATTTCAATGGGAACTTCGGTGTATTATTCTTTACCATAATTCATATTTGGCGTAGTGTAATCACAGTAGTGTTCTTCGTTTCTAACATATATGCCAATTAAGTGCCATTGATTGCACATTTGATTCGAGGATTGTTTGACACATTGGATGTGCTTACTGTGTCGGTGTTACCTATTTAGCATACTTTGCTTACAATACGTCAAACACACGTTTGTTACGGAAACGTTACACAGATTAATTATCATCGAACTTTACAAAATGTTTAATTGTTTAGACGAGCGTGAGTCATGTTACGTAGTGTACCGTTAAAATGCCAGACCATTGAACGATGAGAGAATGTGTAGTTTGTTCATTTCTTTGCGTCATTTTGTGATGAACTTAAAATACATGTAGGCGCCTTTGGTAATTAATGGCAATCTTATGGATTACATATATATATATATAATATAAATATATATAGGATATATACAAAAAATATCCCCCATTATAAGTAGACATGAACCTGACTTTGAGTAAGTTGTTTGGCACCGTGGTAACAAAAGCCTAGGCGTTGTAATGTGTATTTTAAGTTTTTATCAAAATATTTCGGTAAAAAACGCGAAGGTCGATCGATTATGATTTTTGTTTTAAAATAAATGGGTAGAAAACACCATGACGAGTTTTTATTTAATTATCGTGGTATAATGCCATCTACTCAGTTCGTGTTAATTCTGACGTTGCTTGAACAAATGTCAAAAACGCAGAACTGTGAGAAAATGAGCTCTATATTAATGCACGCGAAACCAAGTTACAGCCCAAGTTATGACACAATACAAGCACACGTCACCGTGTTAATGGCCGGACACACCAGGCGATTGCATCGGGCGATGGCATCGCCCGATTCTTGCGCGCGCAGTGCGATTGGCTGATGAACTCTGATTGGCTGATGAATTGTACAATCGGGCGATGTTATCGCCGGTCGCGGACACACCAGGCGATTGCATCGGGCGATAATATCAAAACGTTTTGATCTGTGCGATGGCATCGGGCGATGAAATCGGCGGCGATTGAGTGGACACACCAGGCGATTTTCACGGCGATGCCATCGGCCGATGCCATCGCCCGATGCAATCGCCTGGTGTGTCCGGCCCTTTACCAACCGAATACTCATGACATTTGAACGCGCGTCACAACCCGCGTACAATACGCGCGCAGTCAGGCGGCGCTTCATTTCTGTTCGTCTGCCCTTCTCTTCACAGCGTTGCACCTCGTACGTAATTTGAATTGAATTGTTACAATATATACCAAGATTAGTATTAAATGAAGGCCATTGATGAATGAAGTTCAAATATAGTATTTATATTGAATCTAGCTTAGAAGTAATAATTAAACCCAGTTACTTTGTGCACGTGTGCGGAATATCGAAACTATGGGTTTGCATTAGAATATGATGTCGTCAGTCAACGTAAATACATGCACCGGGAATATTGAACTTAACACGGCAGCAGTTTGTGGAACTGCTGGACGTCGTGTTGAGTACTGTGCTTTCTGTGCAATGTTTCCGTTAAGGATCGCTGCGGTGTGTCGAATTCTATTTCATTTAAGGAAACATAGACTCGAAAGTGATATGTTTACCATAGTATTTTTAATGTTTGTGCGCAAAGCGCAGTGCTCAAAAAATGCATATATATGCATTGCTATGCGCCCGGTGCGTTGCTAGCTCGAAGGTTGCTATTGCAAACTTTTCTGCGAGCGTTGCTATGGCGAACGTAGCTATGGTGCGCGGCGTTTGCGCTGTCTGTCGCGCAAATGTCGCGTGTTGTGATCTGCAATACGTGGGAATAAAGGCTGATGCGTTTGTTAAATTCGAGAGGACATGGTATTCTGTTGTGATTAGGCCAAATGAAGACAATTACTCACATACATTCTTTACTAAGGAGGAAAATCCGATACTGATTTTCAGCAAAAACAATATGTCAAGAACCATAGACGTTCAGTAGCCGCGGGCTACAGGAGGGGCCAACTCAACTGCAATATGGTGAGCGCTGTTGTCGTTTATCCATATATATATACCTATATATATATATATATATATATATATGTCTTTGATTAATCTAACCCGCGGTGTATTTTGAGTTGGTTTGCTCTGGAGAGAATGTTTGTGTCGATCTATCGCTGCTCCCTTTAGCCTGTTAAACGAACGTGGGAGGGAGGTATTCCTCCATCGAACAGACTCAGGATCAAATCTGCGTACCCTGGTCGCAGGCCCAGAGAAGTATTGCATGTCACGCATTACGGACAGTATATTTACGATATGGGTATAAGTCAATTAAACTAATGAATGTATTAATTATTCTCTAGAAATCGCTCGTCCTCGATCTTCATTCTTCCCCTCTTGCTCTTTCTTTCTTTTTCCTTGCCAATAATAAATAAATAAAATAAATAAATAGATATATATATTATATTCAATCCAGAAATCTATATTTATTTTATTTTATTTATTTATAATATTATTATATATTGTATTTTATATATTATACTATATATATAATGATATAAGATATATAAAAATACGCAAGATCGCGTTTCGCTAGTTGCGACCGAAGCGCCACCATACCGTACGGCGTAATATATTACGCCGAAGATGTGCTGTACGACAATCGCCCTACGTAACCGTTCGATGGACTCCTCAGTGTATAATACGGCCCACGCAAAAAATTGATAATAAATCTCGCACTTATATATATATATTATTTACATATATACACATATACTATATTTAGTGAGAGAGAGCGCGAGGGACAGCTGATTAAGAAGCAGCAAGGGAGGAGAGAGACGAGAGCGAGAGAGCCACGACGCAGAGCAGATCATGAGAGATGTGCTATCTGAGAAGATGACGAGCAGCAGAGACGGAGAGAGCAAGAGAGAGAGAGAGGAGAGCATGAGATGAGAGATAGAGGATGAGAGAGATAGAGAGAGTCAGGAGAGAAGAGAGAGAGATGATGTAGAGCAGAGCAGAGAGCAGAGAGCAGAAGAGAGAGGAGAGATGAGAGAGCAGCAGATGAGAAGAATGGGAGAAAGATGTAGTGATGAGAGAATCAGAGGGCCGAAACAGATGAGAGAGCAGCAGAGAGAGAGAGAGAGAGAGAGAGAGAGAGAGAGCAGATAGAGAGAGAGAGGAGAGAGAGGAGATAAGCAGAGCAGAGAGCAGAGATAGAGAGAGTGAGAGGGAGTAGAGAGATATAGCAGCAGAGAGAGAGCAGAGAGAGAGACCGAAAGAGCAGAGCAGAGAAGATTCGATAGATGAGAGAGAAAAAGATAAGAGAGAGCAATATGATCCGATTGGGCGATAAGAGAGCAGATTGTAGATGCAGATATACGATAGGAAAGAGAGCAGGAGTAAGGGAGCCGAGCCAAGAGCAGAGGCAGGCAGAAGGCAGGAGAGAGAGAGAGAGTAGAAGAAGAGGACGATGAGCAAAGAGAGAGAGAGAGAGCATAGGATGAGAGAGAGAAAGAGCAGAGGAGAAGGCCGCGTGCAGACCTAGCTCTTGCGAACATAATTATTGGTTCATCGATCGTTTGCATCAACGTTGATTTCAGTGAACCTATTATTCAAGCGCGTGTGGTGACAATCATTGCGTCCGACGCGCGTGACTTTA